GGGTTTGGTTTGGCGTGGCGTGGGGTGGGAAAGGGACTGTGGGGGGGGGGGTGGGGGGGTGGGGGGTTGGGGGGGGTTGGGGGGGTTGGGGGGGGTTGGGGGGGGGGGGTTGGGGGAACAGGTCATGGAAGCTCGTTCCGTACCAGGTCCGCTAATCATGGCACGGATGGTGCCCGAGACGAGGGCCACACGCTTGTTGCAGTAGAACTCGTGGTTGTCGGAGGAGACCAGCTTGACGTATTCGACTTCGTCACCCATGGTGAGAGAGAGTGTGTGTCTGCGGGGGAAAGGGGAGGGGTGTGGGCAGGTGCTGTGGTGGCGGTGGTGTGTGTGGGGTGTGCCATCGGTTGTCGGTTCGTCGGTTCGTCGGTTCGTCGGTCGATCGGTTCGTCGTCGGTCCGTCGGTCGTTCATTGGTTGTTGGTTAATGGCTGCTGTTGGTGGTGGTTGGCGCGCCACTTGTATTCAAATATTTCATATCATGGCGTTCGACTGGGGCACCCTTGACCCGGAGGCGCTCAACACTGCTAAGGTCGTCGAGCTGCGCGAGGTGCTGAAGAAGAATGGCGTACGTGGCAAGTAATGTGTGAGGATGGACAGGGGGGAGGGGGAAGGGGGCTGGTGGGACGTAGGAGTGGGGGTGGGTGCCGGCGAAGAGGCCAGGGTGCTGGGGTGCGGGTGGCGGGTGCCAGTGCGCGCCAAAGTAACTTGCGCGCCAGCCGACTCACCCATGGCCGGCCATGGCGGACGGTGCGACAGATCTCTGCTCCGTCGCGGGCGCGCAAGGCCGAGTACATCGAGATTCTGGTGAATGCGGCAGGGACCGGCAGCGCAGGGCCCAAGCCGAGCAAGAAGAAGTCGAAGAAGAAGTCTGTCAAGAAGCCCGTTGTCAAGTCACAGCCCAAGGACGAGGCCGCTCCGGCCAAGAAGGCCTCGACCAAAAAGAAGGCCTCGACCAAGACCGCTGCTAAGAAGAAGGCTTCGACCAAGGGCGAGCCCAAGCGGGCGGCCAAGGGTGGAAAGTCGGCGCTCATCGCCCAGACTCCGTCGTCGCCGCCGTCCAAGCCGCTGCCCGCGCCGGCGGGGCTGACCTCGCCGAGCAAGCCGGCAGCTTCGCCGGCCTCCGACGGCTCGACGCCGGCAGCTGTGCCTGTGCCCACTATCACGCCCTTCCTCTACGTGCCGAACTTGATCGGCTACGCGCGGGTCGCCCTCCTCGTCTACGCCGGGTGGACATGCCTCGACCAGCCGCTGGTCTCGATCTGCGCCTACATGCTCTCGATGTTCCTGGACGCATTTGACGGTATGGCGGCCCGGCACTTTGGCCAGGCGTCGCAGTTTGGCGCGGTGCTGGACATGGTCTCGGACCGCGTCACCACCATGTACCTCTGCGGCGTCCTCGCCCATCTCTATGACAGCCACATGCTCATCTTTGTCTTCCTCATCGGCCTCGACTTTGCCTCGCACTGGATCCATATGTACGCCTCGATGCTCAAGCAGAAGACCTCGCACAAGGCTGTCTCTCGCGACTCGAACCTCATCCTGCACGCCTACTACAACGTGCCGTACCTCATGTTCTTTGTCTGCTTCTTTGCCGAGTCGTTTTACGTCCAGCTCTTTGTCCTTGCCAACGAGAACAACGGCAACATCAACCTTAACTGGACTGTGCCGTACAACGGCAAGTCGTACTCGTTCTTCTACGTCTGCCTCCTCGTCTCCGCCCCGTTCTTTGTCTTTAAGCAGATCGCAAACGTGGTCCAGCTCCTCGAGGCCTCGTGCGACATTGTTGCACTCGATGTTGCCAAGCGTGGCTAATGATGTAAACTCGCGCATAAGTGAACCAATCGGCTGAGCGCCCCGTGTCCGAGTCGGTGTCTGGGTCCGTGCCCGAGCACACCGAGGCGAGTCCGGCGAGTCGTTGTGCAGTTTGCACTCGACTCAACTCGACACGCCCCCCTTCCACCAACCCGACCTCCTCTCCCCATACACACACCCACCTGCCACAACATGTGCAAGGACTGCCTCAGGAGCGTTTGTCCGGACCGCGGGTCAATGGCTCTGGACACCGGGGCGTACTTTGCCAACTACACAGGCTGCGCCGAGTGCTCGGTCTTCCGCCTCGCCGTCCGCGACAAGACGGCCGATGAGGACGACGAGGGCAACGAGACCGTCTCGTTCACGCGTACGCCACGGGTAGGGGGGGGGGGGTCAGAGAAGGTGGGAACAGAGGCGAGGCGATGGCGACTCACAGTGCAGCGACTCTCCACAGACGTGTGCGGCGCGTGCGAGCACGTCATTGCCCTCCACGAGTTCTCCTGCATCGTCGACGACGGCCGCCACGAGTACTCGATGAGCTGTCTGCTGTGCGGGATGGCCGAAGACTCGCGCGCCATTGGCGTGTACGACGCTGGCGCCGCCAGCGCGCTGACCTAGCACCTGAAGCCAAAAGCTCGGGGAAGCGCGCACGCGAGAGTAAACGTGTTTCATGTCCGCCGCACCACAATGTCCTCCAGATCGGTCAGACGCGAGTCCATGCCCGCCAGTGTGGCGGACCACTGCGCGGTCGACGCCGCGATGCGCTTCTCCATCGCTCGCAGCGAGCGCTGGTGGTCAAGCTGCAGCTGCGCCGTCGCCTTGCTCACCTGCTCGTTCATCAGGCCAACAAGTGAGCCGAGGAGCTGGTCGAGCTGCACAGGCGTGAGCTCGACGAGAGCGGCCGGCGCCGGCGCAGCAGCCGCATCGGCGGCGGCGGCCTCGAGCGCGACCACACGCGCTACCGCGCCGTCGACTGACGCCGCCAGCGGCTCCCACCCTCCCTCAAGCAGCTGGATCCTGTGCGCGAGCTTGCTCACCAGCTTGTTGTCGCCGTTGTCGGCGAGTGCCTCATTGGTCTTGGCCACTGCGGACTCGAGCCGCGAGAGCCGCGGGACAACCGCTGCAAGCCCTGCCTCGGCCTGCCGCCACGGCTCGGTCATTGATCGCTCGGTCAGCGCCGAGACGACACCGTTCATGGCGTCCAGCCGCGACTGAATCGAAGCAATGGCGGCCTCCAGCGGCGCAGACGCAAAGATTGCATGTGGCGTACGCGCACCCGCCGTCGCATGCTCCCTCTCACCCTCGGCGCCTGAGCTGGTGCCGGCATCGGCCGCGGTAGATGCGGCGGCAAGCGCCTCATCAATGCGACTTTCGACCACCGCAAGACGCGAGCGGATGCCGGCCACCGCACCGTCGAGCTGCTCGATAGAAGCAGCCTGTTTGCCAGCGGCAGCGGTGGCGGCAGCGGCGGACGACTGCGCGGCGTCAACAGCGGCACGATCGTCCACGCTCAGCGATGCTGCTACCGCCGGGGTCACTGGTCCGCTACGCGCCATGCTTCCCAGCTGGCTCTCGAGCGAGTCAATTCGGCTTCCAAGCGCGTCGGCCGTACGCGCTAGCTGCGTTTTGAGGGCTCCCATGAGAGCATGTAGCTCTGGGACCGCAGCATCGGCTAGCGACGGCTCAGCAGCCTGTGCGTCCGAAAGCGCCTCCAGCGTCAGTGCAGGAGAGAGTGAGGACGACGACAGCTCGAGCGCCGGCGCCGGCGATCGCAGCTCGTCGCGGACAGTTGGCTGCGCGCTCTGGCCTAGCGAGGCCGCGAGCGCTGCCAGCGTGGGTGTCGCCGGCGGGAGAGAGGCGGTAAACATCGATGAAGGCGACGGCTGGGCGCGGATTGGCGACGGCGATGGCGACAGTGAGGAAGGCCGAGGCGGGGACGTGTGCAGCAGCGGCGGATCGATGGCCAGCTCATCGAGGTCTCCGCCGTCTAGAAGCGCTTCGAGCGCCGACGCCACCCGAGTCCGTGCTGCTGCATCCACGGCCGCAGGGGAGGGTGTGAGGCGGAGGGTGGCAAGTGAACGGAGCCGTGGCAAGAGCCGCGCCACAGCATCAAGCGTCTCAGCGCGCAGCTCAATGCCCTCAAGGTCAAGCGCAACGAGCGTCGATGGCGATAGTGCGCCAAGGAGCGGAAGCAGCGCATTGGGCGCCACATCGGGGTTGCCGCCGAGCCGGATCGCACGCAGCGTGCGGCAGCCGGCAAGCGCGGCGGCCGTCGCCGAGCCGGCACACGTCCTGCAGAGGTTGAGCTCGGTGAGCGGACGCGCCGGGTTGTTGGCGGCGGAGAGTGCCAGGGATGCGGCAGCGTCATCGCCGAGTGGATTGCCCGACACGTCCAGCGCTGTGAGCGCGCGGTTGGTGGCGAGGGCCGGGGCGAGGGCCGCAGCGCCTCGAGCAGCAAAGGCGTTGTGAGCCAGCGAGAGCGCTGTCAGCGAAACGTTGACTTTGAGCGAGGTGGCGAGCGCCGCGAGGCCGGCGTCCTTGATCTCGTTGCCGTCGAGGACGAGGCGTGCGAGAGCGACGGCCGGCGAAGCAAGAAGCGCCGCCAGCGCAGCTGCGCCGTGGTTGCCAACACGGGCATTGGCAAGCGAGAGCACCCGCAGCGGCCAGCCTTTGTGCGGCGCAAGGCGCGGCTTGCCCAGCGGCCCGCACAGTGCGGCGACGCCGGCCGAGCCGACCATGGTCCCGTCCAAGACCAGCGCATCGAGGGTCGGAAAGGCAGCCAGCGCCGCGGCCAGCTGCCCGACTCCCGCAGGCGTCATCCCCGCCGCGCCAGAGCAG